GAAAGAGGGCTAGAGCTCTGAGATATAGCTAAATAAAAGACCTACGATGTGGACTGAGGGGACTACAATCTCAAAATGGGAGAAGTCATACAACCACAGTATGCAGTGCTATGTTAAATTCAGACAGACTGACTTGCAGCTGAGTCAGGCCTACACTACCATCTGAGCTTAGTGAACAAGTGATACCACCTCTGAACCTGTTTCTTTAACTGTAAAATACAGGTAAACAATGTCTGCTTTCCAGGGCTGTGCTGAAGCCCCAATGGAAGTGTACATAGAAAGAGCAGTGTAACCACTGGGTATGCCTTGTTGGGCCTCAAATAGACCCTGGAATGCAAGAGAGAAGTGCCCTGGACTCTAGTTCAGAACCTAGGCTTTGAGGGAAGCTGCAAGATTCCTAATTTGCTATGGATGGAACATTTCCCAAATTGTCTCTTTTTAAGAGTTACTGAGGGAAAGGTTTTGTTTTGGCAGAGAAGTTAGAAAGTTTCCTTACTGGAAGACTTTGATATACAAAAGGATAGTGTCAAGTTAACCATGGAATTCTGTTGTCACAGAGTACATTCTAGAGTTGCGTTCTCTAGAACAAATCAGAAAAGAATGCTCTAATTCCTATCTGGTTCTCCCTCTCCAAATCCCCTTCTTTCTTCCCCTGACTCCATTCCCTGCAGGAATAGCAAACCTCGAAATCGTCCATCATTCCGACAGATCCTGCTGCATCTGGACATTGCCTCAGCGGATGTACTCTCCACACCCCAGGAAACTTACTTTAAGTCCCAGGTGTGCTGTGGGTGGGTAGGAAAATGAATACCTCACTGACTGCCCCTCTTTACAGAGATGATGCTGCCCTTTGAAGAGGCTAGGAGAAAAGGTGGGGAGGGGCAAACAGGTGGTGTGGTGGTTAAGTGTGCTGGACTCCTACATGGCCAACTGCAATTTGAGTCCTTAACTTGGTGGCTTGCTTTCTCACTTATGGAACATTTCCCAAATTGTCTCTTTTTAAGAGTTACTGAGGGAAAGGTTTTGTTTTGGCAGAGAAGTTAGAAAGTTTCCTTACTGGAAGACTTTGATATACAAAAGGATAGTGTCAAGTTAACCATGGAATTCTGTTGTCACAGAGTACATTCTAGAGTTGCGTTCTCTAGAACAAATCAGAAAAGAATGCTCTAATTCCTATCTGGTTCTCCCTCTCCAAATCCCCTTCTTTCTTCCCCTGACTCCATTCCCTGCAGGAATAGCAAACCTCGAAATCGTCCATCATTCCGACAGATCCTGCTGCATCTGGACATTGCCTCAGCGGATGTACTCTCCACACCCCAGGAAACTTACTTTAAGTCCCAGGTGTGCTGTGGGTGGGTAGGAAAATGAATACCTCACTGACTGCCCCTCTTTACAGAGATGATGCTGCCCTTTGAAGAGGCTAGGAGAAAAGGTGGGGAGGGGCAAACAGGTGGTGTGGTGGTTAAGTGTGCTGGACTCCTACATGGCCAACTGCAATTTGAGTCCTTAACTTGGTGGCTTGCTTTCTCACTTTCCCTCTCTCATTCTGTCCCTCTCTGGCCAATTTATAAATAAATAAAGTTAATTCTTTAAAAAAGTTGATGGGATCAGAATAGACTGGCTTTTAAGAGGGCTGAGATCCCATCTGTCAAACCTATACCCCACTCCTTTATGCTCCAACACATGATTGAGGCAGTGAGGGAACCTACAGAAACTTTCTACAAGTTTACTGGGTCACAGAATAGCCCTCACTGTTCATCCTCTATCCACCCCCAGGCAGAGTGGCGGGAAGAAGTAAAGCTGCATTTTGAAAAGATTAAGTCCGAAGGGACCTGTCTGCATCGCCTAGAAGAGGAACTGGTGATGCGGAGAAGGGAAGAGCTCAGGTGTGTGCCTGTGTTTGGGACAGCAGCAGGGACTATGCACTTCTTAGACTGGGACCTGCTATGATACCAGGTAAACCCACTCACCTTGGAACCCTTTTGCTTATTTCAGACATGCCTTAGACATCAGGGAGCACTATGAACGAAAGCTGGAGAGAGCCAACAACTTGTACATGGAGCTTAACGCCCTCATGTTACAGCTGGAACTCAAGGAGCGGGAACTGCTCAGGTAACTAGTCCTTATGCACCGAACACCAGCCTCCATCCATGAAGCTGTGCCTATCAGAGATCCTGCTGAGCCTGAACCCTCCTTCCTGATCACATGCCTGAGAAGGTGCCTGATCTCTAGGCGGGAGCAAGCTTTAGAGAGGAGGTGCCCAGGCCTGCTCAAGTCACACCCTTCCCGGGGCCTTCTGCATGGGAACACAATGGAGAAGCTCATAAAGAAGAGGAATGTGCCACAGAAGCTGTCACCCCATAGCAAAAGGTGGGACTCAAGTTCTTGAGTACTGAGATCTGAGCACAAGGGGGAGGCTGGAGACAGCAGATGCTTAGAAGGGGAGATGTGCATTGTCCTAAGATTCAGGAATGCTTGGAGTTCATAAATTCATTATTCTCCCTTGTACTTTCCCTCCCCAATTAGGCCAGACATCCTCAAGACAGAATCTTTGCTACCTAAACTAGATGCTGCCCTAAGTGGGGTTGGGCTTCCTGGGTGTCCTAAGGGCCCCCCTTCACCAGGACGGAGTCGCCGTGGCAAGACCCGTCACCGCAAAGCCAGCGCCAAGGGCAGCTGTGGGGACCTGCCTGGGCTTCGAGCATCTGTGCCACCTCATGAACCTGGGGGACTGGGAAGCCCAGGGGGCCTAGCAGGGGGACCCTCAGCCTGGGAGGCCTGCCCCCCTGCCCTCCGTGGGCTCCACCATGACCTTCTGCTCCGCAAGATGTCTTCATCATCCCCAGACCTGCTGTCAGCAGCACTGGGAGCCCGGTGCCGGGGGGCCGCAGGGGGAGCTGGTGACCCTGGCTCACCACCTCCAGCCCGAGGCGATACCCCCCCAAGTGAGGGCTCAGCCCCTGGCTCCACCAGCCCGGATTCACCTGGGGGAGCCAAAGGAGAGCCACCTCCACCAGGAGGGCCTGGTGAAGGTGTGGGGCTGCTGGGAACTGGAAGGGAAGGGACTGCGGGCCGGGGAGGAAGCCGGGCTGGCTCCCAGCACTTGACCCCTGCTGCACTGCTGTACAGGGCTGCAGTCACCAGAAGTCAGGTAAAGTATGGAAAGGTTCCTGACCCCTTTATCCTTGCTTTCCCTGGGACCTAAGTTATTTCCTGTTATTGTACTCAAGCCATTCGTTACTCCACTGTTTATAAGTATGCTCCCTTCTCCTAAAATCTAAATGTCCCCTCTTCCCTCTCTGACAAATTTCATCTCTCCTGCAGAAACGGGGCATCTCGTCAGAAGAGGAGGAAGGAGAGGTGGATAGCGAAGTAGAACTAACATCAAGTCAGAGGTGAGTAATGGCATTATTTTGCTTTCTAGGCTCCAAGTTGCAGAACCAAACTGTAACCCCTCTCTCCAACATAGATGGCCTCAGGGCCTGAACATGCGCCAGTCACTATCGACCTTCAGCTCAGAGAACCCATCAGATGGGGAAGAAGGCACAGCGAGCGAGCCTTCCCCCAGCGGCACACCTGAAGTTGGCAGTACCAATACTGATGAGCGGCCAGACGAGAGGTCTGATGACATGTGCTCCCAGGGCTCAGAAATCCCACTGGACCCACCTGTGTCAGAGGTGGTCCCTGACCCTGACCCCAGCTCCCTGCCCACCCCACGCCAGGACCTACTTAGAAGCGAACAGGTGAGTCACAGGACAGAAATAACCAAGCACTAGACAGGGAGAACTAGGAGCAGGTATCTAGTGTAAAAGACGCACAAAAGACAGGTATTAGTGTAAGATTTCTGAGTTGCCTCCCCCCAGTCCCAAGAGCAAATGTCCACATGGAGGAATCTAAGAGGCCTATAAGGCAGAGCACCCTTAGCTTGTGTGGTAGCTATATAAGGATAAAGGACCTTGGAGTAGGAGCTTGATGCCTTGGAGAACGGCCTGAACAACTGAGACTTGGAAGCAGTAAAATCAGTAAGAGCTGCCTTTTAAAAAAAAGTTTATTGTCCTATCATGCTGGAGGGCACAGGCACAAGGGAAGGGTAATGAGTGGTTAGAGGGAGAGGCCACCCAACAGGGTGTGGTCACACAGTAATCCCTTTTCCTCTCATCCTTCAATGTAGCAGATCATGGGCACATCTGCCCGAGATTCAAGCCACTAGCTCAAACCCTGAGCTGTCTTGAGGGTTCCTGCTTCCTGTGGACAGTGCCTTTAACACTGCTACAGGGCCAGCCCACCCCAATGGTTATTAAAGACTCCCACGAGGGATCTTGTAGGAATCCATTCATAACACTGAGGCTAGTTCTCCACCTCATCCCATTTTTACTATTCCTCACAGGGCCCTCCAAACTTTGAGGACTCGGACTGTGACAGCACCGAATTGGACAACTCCAACAGCGTTGATGCCTTGCGACCCCCTGCCTCCCTCCCTCCATGAACGCCACTCTTATTCCCTGTAAATAGAGAAATATTTATATAAATAATATATATGCGCCACATAATCAAGAGAGAGGGGGCCGTCCCAGCCTTCTATCAGGCTCAAGGGAGACTGACTCCCTGACCAATTTACCTGGGTAAACTCTGGGGACACTGGCAGCTGTGGAAATCAATTAAGTACTGCCCTAGAGCTGTGTGAAAGGGGAAACTGCCTCTTCCTGCTTCACCCCATTTGTTATGTTCAGCAAGCTATTAGGCAATATAAGATCCAGAGTGTCTCTACACTCTTTACCCTCAAATACTGGGGGAGAGGGGAGCCCAGGACAAAGAACCACTTAGACTGCACTTTTCTGTTTTCCGTTTACTGTTTACACATTTTGCACTTGGGAGGAGGGAGACTAAGCTGGATCCTCCCCTCTGAGGTTTCTCAGGTGGCAATGTAACTTATTTCTTTGTCCCTTTATTTCTGTGCCCAACTCTTGGCTTAGGGCCAGGGGGAGGTTAGGAGACTGATAGCATGTGATGGCTCAGGCTGAAGAACTGGGGTGCTGTTCAAGTCCCTGCTTTTATCCTGGTGCCTGATGGGGTGGGGACTGTCATATTGTAACCCCTGTGAAAAACCTTGAAATATAACCACTCCATGCAGGCCCAGCTGTTGGGGGTTTTCTTGGTGGATGAATGGGGTAGCATATGTGGTTAAGTAGGAGGCTTGGGTTCCAGACTGAGGGCTTTCAAGTTATTTCCCCCCTTTATGATACTCTTCTCACTAAATGAACAGGTCAAGCTCCAAACTTGATAAATGGTACCAGAATAGGAACAGGTGAACAGAAATAGATCTTAAATGCCCACTCTTGTACAGTAAATGAAATGGTAAAAACAAGAGACTGAAGGCTTTAGTTTAAAATGTATAAGCTTGGACAAGATCTGACATTCTTAAGTAGCCAAATCCCAGGGAGACAGGTGTCCAAGGCCATCTGTGTACATGCATGTGGATCCTTCCCTGTGACCCCTTCCCCCAAAGAGTACTTGCATATTCCTTACTGATTAAGTCCTAGGAAAGTCTAATTCCAAATTCTTTGGGGTACAAATCTTACAAGGAAGGACCAACGAAGCCAGCTAGGGTCAGGGAAAATAGCATCAAGGGCCACGAAAAAAAGACCAAGTGGCAAATCAGAAGAAAACATCTTAACTGCAATAAATGTTTCTATTCAAAACCCAAGTAACGTCCTGAGGGATAAAAGGTACAAAAATAACAGCAAGACAACAGGAATAAAACCCACATGAATCACTGTGGCATCCAGTTTCTATTCACAAAGAAAAAGCTCCAGTCCATCTTTTAATTTTTTTTTTTGAAAAATTCCTGACATTACAGAACTAAACTGAAATGTATTAATATTCCACTCTTACATTTCCATGACAAACAGAAAAATTCATGAGCAAAAAAAAAAAAAAAAAAAAAATAAAAAAAAAAAAAATTAAAAAAAAAAACAGGGAGAAGCTTATAAAACTAAATATGGATCTCAGCATTAACAGCTGAACAGAGAAAGGAATTAAAACGCTTTAATTAAAAAATCACGAGTGGATGATAAAGTGTGTAGAAACTGAAAATTTACAAACTATTTAAAACCTGGAATCGCTGACTGTTCAGAAACTACACAGATGGATCATGGGTGGTGGTGAACAGCATAAAGGGATTATGGATGAATCTGCATTGTTCTAGCTGCTCCCCATGCCACCCGTCTCCGAGGAAAGCCTGTAACACAGAAACAAACGAGGTCTCAGTTAGTTTTCCCAGTGCCCAGTTGCACCCCACCCTCTCAAATTCTCAGCCTAGTTGGTGAACCATGAAGGAAGATGACATAATCAGTGCTTTCCCTATCAAGGGAGACATTTTAAGGTTTCTTGGATTAACCAGTACCATGATCATCCTGAAGCAAGTTTAGCTCAGAATGAGGGAAACAGAATACCAGTTACCAACTGTCCTTCAAAATATGTTCTTGGGAACCTCTGTGGGAGACATTAGACACTTTGTGAAAATATGCCTCTCACTAAAGCCTCCCAGGTCATGATTCACAGAAGCAATGTTTCTTTATTGCTGAGCATATTTTGGCTCCCCTCAAACTGCTGACAGTTACCAATTCAGGAAACGAACCTATCTGAATAGCAGCCTTATGAGGTTAATGCTGAGAAAGAAAATTCAAGTCTTCATCCTATAATAACTCTAGGTTTCTCTATCAATATAGTAAGTATGGATCTGGGAAGTAACTTGTTCCAACTCCAAAAATGGCTCTTATTGTCAAGCCAAGTCCTTCATCCACACGTACTGGCTTGTCTTTCTCTTATTTGAAATCTTGAAACCCAACGTAAGGCTTTGAGCAAAAATGGTACCTACGATCCAGTATGCTTTACAAGACACTGTCTAGTTTTTCTGTTTTAGAGGTTTTTACCGTATTGTGCACTTGCCAGGAAGTTTGTGTGTGGAAGACAAAAAGTGAGAAATAACCCATGGGGGGAGTGGGGGGGTGGGTGGGGATGGTCATACCGCAATCCCTTCTCCCCCAGGGATCTTGGGCATGTGTGCATATGAGCCCAGCATGATTTTCAAGCCACCAGGTCTGAGATTCAAACCGTAGTCAGCCATTTAGAAGTCCAGTGATGTAGCCACTACACTATCTGTTGGCCCCCTATCCTCCAGTTTTAAAAAGAACCTTTAGGACTCAGTTTTATTTTATGAAGTTACTTCATAAAGATAATTAACCTACATAAACTATTTGTGATATCTGGTCAAAAGAGCATGACGGGATACTTTACCACCTATATCCCTTTTACAATGCAAAGCCAAAAGCTGTTCAGAGGTGGGTAAAGGGCTTTCAACTACAATACAAACTATATTTACTTTTAAGTCAAAAATGTTTTTTCAATCTCACCATGAAGGTGAATATTTAGCTCTTACAAGGAGATTCTGCCAACCTCAAATAGAGATGACTTAGGGCAAGGCAAACAAAAACCTCTGAATGAAATGGTTCCATGGAAACTGAAGGTCCAAAAGTCAGATATGGTTTACATCTAGGCCTTAAGAAAAAATAAATTAGGGTAAGAAAGTGGCAGCACTCAGGACCAGCAGTTAGCGTAGTGGCTATGTCGCTGGACTCCCATGTAGTAAACCATGGTTTGAGTCCCGGACCTGGTGGCTTAAAACTCACACTGGGCGTGTGTGTGTGCGCCCAAGACCCCGAGAAGAAAATGGAGAAGGGACTGTGGGGTAGCCATCCCCCCTGGGGGGTGATTTCTAGCTTTTTGTCTGTGTGGTGAGCACATGCGCCCTACAGCAAAAACCTCTCAAAAAAAAAAGGAAGTGGCAGCACAATAGCCACATAATAGTTTAAAAAAGAAGTGTCTAGAACTTTAAAACTTCGAAAAAGTGTCTAGAAGTTAAACCAAGACTAAGCAAGGATTTGCAGCGCTGGCATGTGGTGAAATGAAGTGCGCCTGACCAGAATGCTTGTTAGGGACTCTATGACAGAACTACCACTTGGGGGAGCACCAAAGCTTCTAAAAATTTATCACCAAGTACCTACAGAAGCAGTGATAGTGTCAGCTCCTTAAACATCTAGATTCTTTCCCAGCAGTATTTCCTTCGGAAATATTTATTAGGTTAAGAGGACTTCCAAGCAAGAACTAGACAAAATAAAATCTCATCATGATTGAATCCTACAAGAAGCTTACCAAGGCGATCTGGACCATCTGATAAAGGAACAACTAACAAGAAAACCCCTACAAGGACAATGAAATAGAGGTTTGCTCATCCAGTGCGTCATGCAGATTTGGGGCATGTACCTATTAATTCACAGGCCCAACCTAGGAGGGGGCCACAACACCACCAGAGAACAAGATATATAATACAAAAGAATATTCATGAGTAGTTGTTTTTTGTTTTATTTTGTTTTTAAATAATGTCAACCAAAGGAGACACTGGAAAAGATTATCGGGGGAAAATCTCTACACAATAAATTCTCAAATGCACTGGAAAGAGCATTACACTTTCAGTACTTTGGCTAAAAACTACCAGAGGGGTCTCAACCTGCATTTTAAAGAGAGACCTGTACATATCAAAGTAAAGCATAAGGTGATAGTCCTGATTAGTCACTCAACCGATCAACAATTAAAATGATCCTAGGGCCTCTTTCTTTACCTGTTAAATGAGAAGACTGATTAATTCCAGATTTAAGATTTTTCTCAACCCTAGGTATATATTTTCATACTCATGATAGTGTTGGTAGGGAGAAGGGTGGATAGGGAAAAGGAGGGTAAAATAACTTGGTTGACTAATCAGAGTTGGTTTAAAATGACTGGACAGCATCTTGTCAAGTTCTGGGCAGTGTCACAGTGTAGTTATTCAAGATTTACCTAATGTCACAGAAGAGGGTAATTAATGCTAGTTTAGAGGAATGCAGACAGAAACTGACTATTAGAGTTATTCTACCTCGCTTCCTCACTCTGAGTAAAGAATTAAATTCTTCGTTCTTGTAATTTGCCCTGGAAGAGAGCCTCACAGTAACCATTCACCAGAGGAAACAGCCTGGGATAGATATCCTTATTACTTACTGCTGTTGACAAAGTAAGGGATCTGAGAAGTCAAGATAAAACTGTCCTTCACTAACAAAGTTACTTGCCAGTCATGAAGGGCCCTCAGCATCTTAACTGGCACAGGCCCATCTCTCTTTGTGGGAACACTGACAATGGATTATATAATTCATCTGGGATATGGAAAGGCTGAAGTCAGTTGTATAGAATTCCTAGTAGAGTAGCCACAGGTCACAAGTTCCCACCCCTTTACCCCTCACAGTACACATGAACTAAGGTTCTTACTGTGGCAACTTTATTACAGCTAAACACAAATCTGGCCAAGAAGGCCTGGTAGCTCAACCATTAAATAATTAAAAAAAAAAAAAGATTAACGGAGAAGCTTTTATTCATTAACACAGAGCCTAACACATTGTTATATTGCAAGGCAGAATAAAGCTACAAAAAAGATAACAGAATGAGAAAGAAGAGCAAAAACTATGGCTCTAGATAAAGATTTCAACAAGTCAGACTCTGAAACAGGCACTCAGCTGAAATAGCCTAAACTTAAACAAGAATTACTACTGCCCCACCCCCACCCAGTTATCCCCCAGTAAAAAGGAAATCGTCACAAGCTCACAATAGTTTGGTTCTCACCAATGGTTAACAAAGGAAAACAAAATAAATCAAGAAATTCTTGAGGAGGTGCCTCAAAATATGCAATCAGTAGGGAGAGAATCTCTGTTTCTCGCCTTTCAGTTTGTTAGTTACACATGGCACGGCAGTGGTGGTGGTGGTGGTAGCTGAAGCCCCGGTACCCTTAGCAGCAGACACAACATTTAGAGCCAGGAGAGGGATGGGTTTCATGCCAAGCAGACTGGAGACACAAGGGGCGGTCGGAAGAGGGTTGGGGAGGCTGGAGGGTGCGTCGGAGGTCCCCGCTGTGGCGAGCGAGGGGGTGGTGGTGGAGGAGGAAGAAGAAGAAGAAGGGGTGGAGGGTTGAGAGAGGTTGATGCTGAGGTGATCAGGGATCGTGACGGAGGCTGCCTGGGAGGAGGGTTTAGCGTTTTCTAAACTGTAACAGAGGAAAAAGGAACAAAAAAAAAGGGTGGGTGGAAGGGAAGACCACAAAAGGGAAAAGTACAGGACAAAAACCTCTTCAGTTTTATCAGTAAGTGCCTTTGGTTGCCAATTAAGACGACCTAATACCAATTTATCACTAGCTGTCTCTCTTTTAGCTTGTGTCCCACCCTCTAAACACGTATACTTTGCCACCTTTCATTTCACAATGCTATTTAAAACTGCTACAGTGAAGAAAAGCTGACAGACTGAGAAATCACATGGAGCACACATACTTCTATGTATCTGATGTATCACCCCAACCCCAGAAAAAAATTCAGACAGAAATGGAAGACCAATCAATTTCCGAACAATTAGACATATTTATCCACCAAATGTCTATTCCCTATTCTAATGGAAAATGAAAATGACCTACTGTACTATAGTAATTACATGTGAATTTTGCAGCAGGATTAAAACATTTTTCTTGCATATATCTCCACAGCAAAGAAATCAGTATTATTAGGATTGAAAGAGGCAGTCAAATTTCAAACAATGTAGCATTTCCAGAGAAAAATGAACAGATATACAGATAAGAACTAGGGATACTTTTTTGGTGGGAGGTGGTGGTGAGTATAAAAGGCTCTTTGTTCCTGACTGACCATAATTCTAACGTGGACTTTACAGAACTGGAAGAAATTTCAGCACTACTGAAAACTGTTTAAAAACTGCCCTTTTTCAAGAGCAGGAAAGCTCCTTCTAAAGACTCCATTTTGTTTACTCTATGTTCAGGGACAGCTATAATCCAAAGAGGAGGAGGATATAGAAGTAAGACTACTGGGTCAGAGAAGTCAAGATGTATTTTTATGAAGAAAAACACATCATGACTTTTGCAACAACCCAATATAATGAGAAAAAAACACTTTCTTAGTATTAATACTATATCCAGTTTTCTTTCTGCATTCACACTGGGCCAAGATAAGAAAGAGAAGGTTCTGCTTATGTAGTTTTTCCTCTGAAGTACAAAGCAGCTTTAAAAAAGTTTGACCCCAATCGTTAACTTGGGTGGTTTCATTAAATAGGAGATCCTGAAAAGTTACGTCTTTCAATAAGATCCTGAACAGTGATTCTAGGGGGACTGGCAGGTGGCATGGTGGTTAAGGGTACTGGAGTCCCATATGGTCAGCTGTGGTTTGAGTCCCAGACCTGGCAGCTTGTTTTCTCACTTTCTCTCTCTGTCCCTCTCTGGTCAAACTAAAATAAACAAACAATAAAATTAAATAAAAATTCTTTAAAAAAAAATTAAAAAGTGGTTCTAGGCAGAGATAGATAATCTGCTTCCTATGTAGCCTCTGTCCTAGTACAGGGCCCAGGCAAGCAGGTCACATTTAAACAGTCACAACTTAAAACTACCCTGACAATATTAACAGCAAGTCTATCTAAATCAGGAAAGCTCCAGCTTCCAAGAACATAATTCTTGCTATTTAAAACTCTCCTCTAGGGGCTGGCAGGTGGCATGGTGGTTGGGGGTGCTGATTCCCACATAGCCAAGACAGCAGTTCAAGTCCCACCCAGACCTGGCAACTTGTTTTCTCCTGTTCCCTTTGTCTCTCGCTCTGTCCCAATCTGGTCAGATTAAAATAAATAAAGCTAAATGAAATAATTTTCTTTTAAGAGAGAGACAATTTTTGTTATAGGGCATGTGCACTTGTCAGAGAGACAAAGTGAAAAATCACTGCCCAGAGGGGACGGTCGCACCCAATACCTTATCCTCCATTCTCCTCTTGGGATTTTGAGCATGCACGCACATATGCGCATGCGCGCGCACACACACGCCTGAGTTTTTTTTTTCTTTACACGAAGAGACTCAAAGCAAAAAAAAAAAACTACCGGAAAACTGTTACATTCTTAACTAGGGATTAAAGATCATCATAAATGTATGGTCAACACAAGCATTCACAATATAGACTTCCTATTTATGAGTTCCTTTCTTCTGCACTAGATTCAGGAACTCATATAGAACTTATGCCATTGGGAACCAGTAGTTAGCGTAATGGCTATGTCACTGGACTCCCATGTAGTCGACTGTGGTTCGCGTCCTGGGCCCGGTGGCCTAAAACTCACGCTGGGCGCGTGTGCGTGCGTGCCCAAGATCCCGAGAGAATGGAGAAGGGATTGCGGCATGACCACCCCCCCTGGGGGGTGATTTCTCGCTTTCTGTCTCTATGTCTCTCTCTGTCTGTCTGGCAAGTGCATGCGCCCTATAGCGAAAACCTCAAAAAAACTTACGTCATAGAAAGCAGATACTTAAGAGGTAAATGACAACTTGGGGAGAGGTAATCCTCCCAAAAAAGGTAAAACTATGCTGCTTGGGAAATGGGCTACTAACACTAGTTTAAAATGTTAATAAGCAATAAATGTGACTTAAGCACATGAATTGATAAAGCAAGATGGGTATCCTATAAAAGCCCTGCAGGATACCCATCTGGCTGTGAATAGTCTCCTGTAATCGTGTATAGCAACATTAACTAAGTATGGAAAAGGGAAATAAAACCTGACAAGTCATGGGGTTGGGGTGAATAGAACACTTGGCATTGCTGAGCCTTTCGATACTTGAGCCTCCTTTTCCCTGTAAGTTTTGAACAATGGGACACATTTGCAATTTGATAAAAACAGATGTTTCCAGGAGAAATGGTAATGGCTGCCTCTGGGAAACTGCCTTATTGTCCATTGATGTTTATTTCAACTAGGCATGTTCTGGGCCCAAGAACCAATTAATTAAAAGAAACATTGGCCCATCCATATGACATGAATGAGACCCATATCTGGCTTTGTCAGTATGGGTGCTCTAGCCAGAACACTCTCCTACTAGGGAAAACATAAGCCATCCTTTCCAATCCCCAAACTATCAAAAGCCAAATATAATCTACCTATGTCTCCCCGTGCAAACTTAATGCAATGCAGTTACATTTTTTAAAGATTGAAGAAAGTCTAGATTCTAAATTATTTTTCTTTTCCTTTTTTCCTTTACTAGCTCTAACCAACCTACCACCCAAGTAACCCCCTATTTAATAATATACTGCAGCTTTTCCTAACACTTTAGTGGACTGGCATTAAGAAAACAAAAGGTAGGGCAATCTTACCTGACATTGATTAGATATTGAGCCAGGCTAATGCTGGCAGCAGATCCAGTGATGGTAACCTGCCTATCAGTAGATCCTTCCACTGGGTTCGCAATTTTGATCTGCGCCCCAGACATCTGACGGATCTCATTGATTTTGGCGCCTTGACGCCCGATGATGCAGCCAATCAACTTAAGAAAAACAAGAAGGTACACAAAATTAAGAGAAATTAATTGCTTGGTTAGGTCCAAGAATTCTACCCTAGCCCTCTGGCTCCTACAATCTGGGTCACAGTAATAGCAAAGACCATAGCAGTGGAAACGACAACCTACATCATACATTCTATCCATATACTCCTGATCGAAAAATGTCTTAAGTCTTAACCCATTCTGACTGACCACTTCAAGAAAGACCCAATTCTAAGCGAACTCACTTACTCCTAGGACCATGCTTTAGCACTTCTTTTGCGTTGAGAAGTAAAAACTTGGTTTAAATTCATACTAATACTGTGAATGTAAAAATATGGTTATTGAACACTGAACTATTGCTAAAGAGACTTATAAACGGAACATATTATTTTTATTATTCTCAATTTCAGTAACCACAGATGGTTAGTGAATACCACATTGGACAGTACAGGTCTAACATCATTTGCACCCAATGCTTTAAGGAAAAGGCTTTATTCAAATGCCATAAAAAAGGCAGGGACCAGCAAGCAGACAGTGTAATGGTTATGTTGCTGGACTTACACATGGCCAACCACAGTTAGAATCCTGGACCTGGCAGCTTGAAACTCATGCCAGGAGCATGTACGTGCACATGCATGCCCAAAATTCCTAGAGAAGGAATTGGGGCATGGCCATCTCTCTTGGGGGCTGATTTCTCACTTTATGTCTGTCTCTCCTGCTAGCACACATGGCTTAAAGCAAAAGTCTCTTTAAAAAAAAAAAAAAAAAAAAGCCACGAGAATTTCTATTTCAAAAAAAAAAAAAGGTCTTTCTTTCTCATGTGCCCTAAACACAACTGTTTTAATACTTCCTACATGAAATTTGTATACAGTATTCTACGTACTTTAAACAGTTTGGTGTCTTTATAAACTTACATCATTTGGAATGGTGAGTTCATGAGAAGTAGTCTGAGCAGATGCATCCAAACCTGCTAAAAGACAGAAGAGAGCAAGAAAGTTCAATACACAGTATTCGAAACTCCACTGATTTGCACATTAAACTAACAGAAAGAAATAAACTGGAAAACCAGCACTGGCTGTTGGGATTCATCACTAACTTGGAAGTCTCCATGGAGGAAAGAGGGGAAAGGGGTGTAGAAATAATGCTGGAAAGGTTCTTCTGTACACTCAGAAAAGCTGATTTCATGCCATTTTCTGCAAAGCCCCGCCTACTAGGGGTGATGGGAATGGAAGCAAGGGGCAAGGGAGTGTGGTATCCTCAAACAGGACCAAAAGCTAAACATCAAGTCCTTGTGTATTTCTACCCCTTTTCTGCTTAAGATTTCCTGTTGTGTTCCAATTTTATTTCACCTGATGCTCGCTAGCACCAGTGCCAATATCATGCCTCTTATTGGGTACCATGGACTTTTGGCACACATGCAGTGTTTCTTTAAATATACCTGTATCAGATTAACACCCTCCATCCCTATCCTCCTAACCTAGACTTGAAGGTCAGATAGAATGAAATGGCAGTCAGGTGAGGGGAGTTCATTTCATCAGATTTACTCCCTGTCTCTTGCTGAATAATTTGTTCTCGCTTTTGTTTTCCAAAGAAAAAGAAAAAAAAAAATCCTACCAGCAAACACCCACACCCATATATAAAGACATCTACACTGGACCCACACCAGCTGGCTAACTCTCAGACCTAGTCCTGTTCTCAGCTGTGGCTGCTGATCTCAACATTTTTAGAAGGGGGTTGGGCCAGATCCATCAAGGGACCCTCAGGGGCACCAGGCCCACCCCCTTTGCTCTCTCAGCTCCTCTCTGCCATGTGCATGTTGCTGGTATGGTTCATGGGCAGTGAAACAAGACTCCCACCAGTTTATTAATATAACAGTAGAATACTACAGATTTTTTTTTTTTAATCATTACCCCAATAGCCTTTCACCTCTGGAGAGCTGGATTCAATGCCTGTTAAGATACAAGTGAAAATGAGTTTGGTGGTCTCATCCTAACCCTATCGGACAAGTTATTCCTTATACAGAAAAAAAAAAGCCCCAAACAAAACAAAACAAAACAAAACAAACAAATAAAAAAAAAAAAAACTACACAATTTGGCACAAATGGATTGTTTCTACCCAAGTCTGTGAATAGCTGGTGGAGAGAAATGGGGTGCTGATCAGATCAAGGAGGCAGCAGTCATGATGGGTTAAAATAAGTATCGGCCTACCCTTTGCCTGACAAGCATCCCCAGAACTCACCCCCAAACCTTCCAGGGCCTTTTTCTTTTAGAATAACTCACCCCAAATGAAAATCACGTTAACAAACACATTACCTCCTTGGGTTTAGCCATAGTAGACAGGCAAGTTTAAACCAGCAGGATGCTGGGTAATGAAGTTTGTTTTAAACTGATGTCAAGCTGAGACCTTGGGACTGGCCTCTGTCTTGCACTATACCTTACAGAAATAAACACTGAGGTATCCATACCACTGAATCCGGTGTTGCCATGCGTCATAGGAAAATGAGACTGTTGCATTGCCAACTGGTGCAGCTTGGTCAACTGCAGGGAGGAAACAAGAGAGGCTGGCATTAGAAAAGTATGAAAGTCAGGGCTCAAGCACATTCAAATTTGAAAATGCAGAGCTCCTGTTCCTCAAAATTGACTCTACTATTTGAACTACAACAGAAGACAGGGATGGGGCTTTATATGATGATCCTGGGGATGGACAGAAAGAACATGAAGGGTAAGGGTTAGGAATAGGGAGTCAGTATAAGAGAATGAAAGCAACTTGGGCATCTGAAAAAGAAAAGCAACAGCACCCGCCCAACAATCATCCCCCTGTGGGCTACTTAATGAAGGTGTTTGCAGCCATTGCAACAGTTGCCCCAGGGACAAGCAGAGACAGGCTAGGTAAACAAACTGTGCAGTGGTGCTAGGGAAACACACCATGCAGGGTTCCATCAGTACTGGGAAGAGGGAAGGAGACGAGGGGGGGGCAGGGAGACTGCAAGGAGTAGAGAGGATAAGATGAAACCAAACTGGGTTTAGAGTCCCCACCACCACCTCTTGACTTCTACAGCTATTTTTCTGTATCTATATAAGCTCCTGGCTGTTGTAAAATAATCCCTTCTAGGTCTATTTCCCCATCTCCTGGTGCCTACCACTAACCAAGAGCCAAACTCAACTTCTCAAGTCTAATTCTCAGTCCCTGGAAAGGTTAGTAAGGATTAAAGAGTGGAGAAAGAAAGGTCCTTAAACAAAATCTAAATGCATCACTGTAGACTTTTTAGTGGCAAGGAAGGTTTTGAATTGAATTCCCAAGTGCTCAACTTCCTGTCCCTCCTTATGCAAATAAACCCTTTCCCCATCCCTCCAAATACTTTTAAAATTGTCACCTCAGACTGATGAGTACCCAAGAGGAAACCAGAACCTCCCACTCCCCCCCATGAGGAGGACTCCATGCAGGGAAACATAGTCCACTGTCAATTTCAACTGTGCCCCGAGACAAGGAATGACAGTGTACTATGGAATGTTTCTCCTTTAGAGTAACCTGAAACGTGGGGGAAAGGAGAAGCTATAATCTGCTGGATCATAATTTCCAGGAATTAAATGTCAAAAGGCAATGCCCTAATTAAAGATTTTTAAAGACTCATTATTTAAGAGCTGAAATAAAGGGTTCACCTTGTGAGGAAAACAATACAACAAATGTTTTAAGACCCAACTCACTTCTGGCTATTCGGAAGAAAGGAGTGAGACAATTTTGGATGGGAAAGGGAGCTTTTCAAAAGAAGTGAAAACAAAACTTACATCTGGCTGTGGAATGGCATACTGTCCTTGAATGGTATAGGCCTACAAAAGGAGGAAAACAGTTCCTATTAAAAACCAATCACGGACAGCCACCCAGTGGGGGGAAAAACAGATTTCAACTAGCCAGGAAGCCAGAGTTGAACTAGAGAATGGGGAGGCCAGGGATTGAGGCAGAAGATGGAATTTCACAAATACAGTCAGACACGAGTTGGCCTTCTTTGAACCCTAAATATAATGACTTTATTCCAGGGATCCTATAAAGGTTGCCAAATTCCCTACAATCAAAGGCAAAATATATCTTTCTTAATGAAAACGTGGGAAGTGAGATTAAGTAATGCCTCCAATAACCAAGCCCCTCCCTTCCTCCCTGTATACAAGATAGCCTAGGAGGAAAAATGGGTGTCTTCCCTCACCACCCCACCCCTTCTACCACTTGTGGTGACATGAATGATTTGTATCTGCAAACCTACATGGCATGTTTTGAAACACTTGCCCTTCTCTAACTTAACTTTCCTCTACATCTGCCTAAAGATCTTAAAGGTAACTGGGTTCCCTAACACTAGGGAGCCGACCACAGGAACACAAAAATCACTGTGTTCTAAGTCCTGCCTTTTCCCACCTCCCCTCCTTTAAAACGGTACTTGCAGCTCCCACTATGCCCTCCTCCCCCCACACCATAACCTCAGAAAAGGGAGCTAAGTCTTCAGGGCAATGGGGTGGGGAATAAGGAGGAAAGGAAAAAGGAAAAGGGAAGGGAAGGAAGGAGTGGCTGGTTAACAGGATGTGAAGTTTCTCACATCACAGTGGCCAGTAACCCCAAAAGCACACCCAGGTGGGAGTGGGAGGAAGGTGAAAATGGGGTGGGAGGAATGGGATGGGGGAAGAGGGGTTTAACAAAAAAAAATAAAAAATTTTAAAAAAAGAGTTGGTGTTACCATCTGGTGGGCTACGCGGCCTGTGTGAAATGAGGTGGGGGGGGTCAGTCCAGGTCCCCGTGGACAGGTGGTGTCCACAGCACAAAAATCACCAGCGCCACTGGCCCCCCGCGTGTTGGCAGTCTCGGCTGAGGCGGAAGGATTGAGTGAGCCTTGGAGACTGAACATCCCCTCTCACCTCTAGAGGTGGTCCCTCCAGGTCAGGGTTGAGGCACATGGACGGGGTGGTGTGGGGAAAGCTCGCACTGTCGCTGCCTGTGCTGTACCTGTCCTGTGGATAAATAGAGGATTTCAGTCTCCAGGGCTGTCAATCCGGCACCTTGTCACCAGCATGAAATTCACACAAAAAAAGTTGTTTATTTTTGTCTTTTTTCCTTTAAAAAGGAGCTCACGACACAATTTGAAACGAGCTGCAATCAGTGAATTAAAAAAAAAAAAAAAGTTACCTAGTGGCAGATTTCACACTGCACGGGCTATTTCAAGTTAAGAATGAAAGAGCAGGGCAACAGAGTTGATGCCAACTGTGGTCGGTGTGGGATTAAACTGAACCCCTATAGAGCCACTGTGCCACAAAGAACAAAAGACACAGATCCATCTGTGGACACTATATGAACTAGTCCACTTAAAAAGGCCTGGGCGAATGATCCATGACAAGGCCACTCTTGGAAGAAGGTGCAAAGCTTTTAGAGAGTTGTCAACTGGATAAAGGAGAGGGAAGCAAAGAGGTATGAAGAGGTAGGAAGAATGGGGAGGGAAGAAAAGGGAAGGGAAGGAGAATTACAAGTAAAGAAGATTGCTGCCACACAGCATGGGACTAACATTCCAAATGGGAATGGAAAAATCCATAAAAGCAAGAACCTAAGGTTTCTGGAAAGAAGGGAAACTCCTAAGGCTAATCCACCTGGCTACAGACTCTGAGTCTTTGCTTACTTACCCATTTTCCCACCTGACTATCCAGACTAACTGTGAGCAAACCAGTTTGTACAAAGGATAGCACTAAAAGGAAGGTACTGAGCTGTCTCTAACACTGTGGAGTGATTACTGTCTTGTGAAAGCTCCCAGGACTATGTGACAAACCAAGCCTCCCAAAACTTGTTTAGTTCTATGCCAATTCATCAGAGTGGGTATGAGATTGACTCCAAGTTTATACATCTCCTCTAAAAGACAAATAAGATGGACCTAGTTCAATAAATACACTTTAACAAGCCAGCCCCCAAGTGGGAAAAGGCACTTTGAGCAATGCATTTGCTTAGGCAGCTACCAAAATGAAGGTCACCATTTCAATCTGAATCCCAGTATTTTAAAAACCTGTTTACTCCTCAAATACTAATTAACAAAGCACAAAACTGCCATGGTGATCAAAGCTCATCATAAAAATCTAACTTCAGGATAAACCATACACCAAAGAAAAAGAGATTAGATTGGTGAGGAAGAGCAGAGGCCAATGGGGTGCTCTGGTGTTCTTACTAACACTGAAAGTCATAGCACCACAGCCCCACATGCTCAACCTCCCTTCTATTCTTGCACACTTAACTGGTACCCCAGCTGATTTCAGTAATGCCATGTGGGTTCTTACCAGTGTTTATGAAGTTAAGAGCCTAAGGAACACCACACTGGAGTTTGGGAGTGAAAGGGTAGGAGTAAGGGAGGTGAGGTGGAGGGAGGAGAAGTTTGTAGGACACTCAAGCTTAGGAACCGACACCCGCCCCCAATTTTGAGATCATCCAGAATCTCCTTCAGAGGTCCAACTCTTTGCTACCTTTATTCAGACCTCTAAAGCTCACCCCACATCTATAAAACAATGGATGGGGTGAGGGTAGGGAACAAAAGTACTGACACCAAGGCAATTTAACTTTTTCTAACCCAGCCCACCTTAAATTAACAAATAAATTACCTCTTCCGAGTGCCTACAAAACTTCCATTGCCTGCTAAAAATTAAATGAGGGCTTGGCATTCATAGCTTTCTCTGATACAAAAAAATAAAACTAAAAGCAGGTCAAACTATGGCCAGAGTAAAGGTTTCAGCAAGCATGCAGAGTGGCGTGGTGTGCTGCTGGCAAAGTTGACATTTCCAATATAATCACTGTTCATTCTAGCCCACCAATAAGAATGTTCTTACCTGACCACCTGCAAAGATGACTGGAGAACTGGACGGCTTGGGCCGGTACGGGATGGTCACGCCCTTCGGGGGGGACTGGGAGAGAGTCAGAGGGGAAAAAAACAAAAAGAGATAAGGTTTCAAAGCTGCTTCAGCTGTGTGGCTTTAGCTCACACAGATCAGTTTAATTAAAAACTGTAATATTTCCATACCCTCTCCTACCAAATTGTCTCTGGCTAAAGCTAATCTCAAAACTACCTACAGTTATCCACTTTTATAGTAGTCAGACAGATCTGTGAATTAAACAGATCACATTATTTTTCAAGGCAGATGCCCCTGCAATAATCTTAGGGGCACATTTCCAGGTTTTAAATACATTTAATGAACATGAAAAACTTCTACCTGCACACATGCACATTTTAGTTAACAATTTTTAAGATCTCGCATTTTGGGCTGAGTTGGAAATAAAGTACACCAAGACAGTATATCTCAAAAATGAAAGACACTGAATTCTAAGTTCAAATCAAGATTTTCCTAAAACCTACTCTAATATTCTACTTTCTTTACTCACCAATATGGGACCAACTCCATATCAAAACTCTAAAAAGGTTTTATTTCCTTTTATTGTAATGTATTTTTTAGTAGACTATATTATCAGAACCTCACAGTCATTCAAAAATGCCATTGTGGTACATTTTTCTACACTAATGTAGCTAAAATTTTCAATACACCCTACTTCGAAGTGAAAAATTAAAAGAACGTCTCCAAGTTCCACAACATCGAAACACAGTAATCCATAAAATATGCTTCACAAGAATTCAAATACCTCTTTTGTCCAGTCAGACCAAGCAGTGACCCTTTACCAACTGTGCTAGAATTACCGTCAACCTGAAGATTACTGCTGCTTAGCAGTTTCTATTTTTGCTCAGAGACCATAAGAAAAGTCAAAGCTAGGGGAAGGAAAATATGAACTCAGCGAACCTTTCCCCACCCCCACTGGAGGCTTCTAACAGCTCCACCTAATTCTAGTCTTACTAAATATAGATCAGTCCCTTGTCCCTAGAATCGCCCTCCCCCCACTCTCAGCATGAGCCTGAAGGCTTACCTCCAACATGACCACGCAGATCTGTTTGACGCACTCAATGATGGATTGCGGAATGCCAGCAATAGTGATGGCCCGCTCAGTAGAGTTGGGGAGCATATCCCCTGCCACCTGGACCTGAGCCCCTGTACTCTGGGGTAAAAAGAAATTCAGTATCAGAGAAACACATCTCATGCTCTTTCAAGTATTCCTGGCAACAAGGTTAGAGTCTAAAGCTCAATGGAAACTTAACCCCATCTTCTCCCATCTTCCCCTTTCATTCTAGCTTCCCACTCCTCCCTTATTCCATATAAGGTTTAAAGGGAGTCAGAATCAAATTAACCCCTGAAAGATAAAAATAAACCTGAGAAGACAGCCTAAATTTAATCTGTTCTCAAGAAAAATGTCCTTCTAGATAATTTCGTGGATCAACCCTCCCCCCATCCACCAAAACACAATATAATCTACCATTTATTTACTTACTAAACAAGTATTTAATATCAAGCCCACTCCATGTGCCAAACACCATTCCAAGTACTTGGAACACATCAACTAACCAAACCATGAACTCTGCTCTTATTGGCATATACAACCCCCAAAAGCTTCAACTGATCTTCCTTTAAAAGGCATTCAAATTTCATTTTAATACCAATTCAATAACTTTGACACATTAAAAGCTTCCACAATTCAATGTAACTTCCACAACTAAAAAGATTACAACTGAAATAATTCACCATCTTTTCCTTGCAATCGAGAAATTCTGTCAAAATTATGCTATTATATATCAAACTGAAACCTCTTTCCTCATGAATTTTTTTTAAAAGAATTATATAGCCTCATGAAAATGTGGCCCCAAACTGGAAACTGTCACGAAATATATGGATATTCTGTTTTTCATGTTCTGCTTATTAGAACCTAGACTGTTTAAAAAAAAAATTTGTAATACTTTTATTTCCAGTATAATCAAAGAGCAATACTCTATGACTATTTCTTTAATACAGAGATAGTACAGCCACATTTGAAACAAAGAGTTAACGTTTCTGAAAGCAACACAAAGCCACCAACCTCTCGAATTTCCTTGATCTTGCAACCACCTTTTCCAATGAGAGAGCCACACTGACTAGCAGGGACCACCAGCCTCAGGGTGACTGGGGGTCTACTGGCAGCTGTGCTATTGGTCATAGAGCTGCTAATGTCCTACAAGAATAAGAAAATTACTCAGAGTAACAGAAGAATAAATAGTTTAAGCAGATGTCCAGGAATCCATAACTGCCATAAAACAATCACTTAGCCTTAACCTTACTAAGGGACATGTCATAACCCACCACTAACAAATGTTCAAATACCATATACTCCTCCACAAGCTATTTATGAAAAGATGAAAAATTCTTACATTTTTCTGAACTAGCCATAATCATATTTTCCTTCACCCTGGGAAATGTACTTGGTAGTAGGAAAATTGACTGTTTTACAAATTATAGTTTGCTGGGCAATGGAAAAAAACCATTGATGTCAGAAATAAGCCAAATATGGGGTCAGTCAGTGGGGTGGTGATTAAGGCAGCTGGATCCCACAGAGCTGACTACGTGGTTCAAGTCTTGGAACCAGAGGCTTGAGATACAAGTCAGAGAGACCAGCAGATGGTCTAATGGTTACATCACTGGAATCCCATAGCCAACGGTGGTTCAAGTCCCAGACCAGGCAGCATAAAATTAATGCCAGGCAAGTGTGCATACATACCCATCCCCACTTGGGGGTGATTTCTTGCTTTCTATCCCTCTGGCAAGCACACATGCCCTATAGCAAAAATCTCTTAAAAAAAAAAAAAAAAAGATACAAGCCAGGCGCGCGCGCGCGCGCGCGCGCGCGCGTGTGTGTGTGTGTGTGTGTATGCCCAAAATCCCAAGAGGAAAATGGAATTATAACTGCTGTGTGGTCATCTCCTGCAGAAAGTGCTTTCTCACTATCTTTCCGTCTCTCTCCAGTGCGCACACATGCCCTATAGCAAAAATTAAAACAAATATTAACAGAAAGATAAAACAATACAGGGTCAGCAGGTGTGGTGGTTGGGACACTGAACCTTCAAGTCCTGGACCTGGAGGCTTGCTTTCTTGCCTTCTCCCTTCTCCCCCCCCCCGACTGGTGAGTGTGTGCGCCCTATAGCATATTAAAAATAATACTGGGACCAGCAGTTAGCGTAATGGCTATGTCACTGGACTCCCCATAGTCGACCACGGTTCAAGACCCAGACCAGGACCCGGTGGCTTAAACTCACGCCAGGTGTGAGTGCGTGCCCAAGATCCCAAGAGGAGAATGGAGAAGGGATTGCGGTGTGGCCATTCCCCCTGGGGGGTGATTTCTCACTTTCTGTCTCTGTCTGTCTGCCTGGCGAGTGCACATGCCCTATAGTAAAAACCTCTCCCAAAATAAATAAATAATAATAATAATGTTTAGTAGATTTAAATTCTTTATCTAAAAATAAAGACAAAACAATGCAACCAATTCAAACCACCAACTCTTAGAAAACTATAAAGATTACATACAGGCCAGCCCTATGGCCTAATAGTTAAGAGAGTTAAATCCCACATGGCCATCTCAATAGCTCAAATCCCAGCCCCAGCAGCTTGAACAACATGCCAGGCATGTGTGCATATGCCCTCAAATCCCAACAGGATGGAGGCCTGAAGAAGGGATGGCATTGTGATCACATGCAATGGGGGTGCTTTCTCCCTATCCTTGTCTTAGCACACATGCCTTTCGGCAATTAAAAAACAACCAAACATTAAAGATTACAAAGTCAGGAAACAAAAAAGTAAGCATACTCTATTATTGCTAAAATTTTTGTGGTAAACAGTATAGTATCACTGTACAGATCATAAAATACTGGGTCATGTGAAAAGACTTTTTTGGTTTTCTATGCAAAATGCATCATGACTTTTCCAACAACCCTATAAAAGCTCAGAGCACTCGTTTCAATCATATCTGAAGATACAGATTTGAGATAAAAAGTCTATAGTAGAGCTGGCCCCATAACACAGCACACTTAAGTGCTGCAGAGAATCCCACAGTCAGCTAAGGATTTCAGTCCCAACCCTGAAAGCTTGAAAATGGGACCAGTAGTTATTTGGTGTAATGATTATGTCACTGGACTCCCATGTAGTTGACCGCAGTTCAAGTCCCGGACCTGGTGCCTTAAACTCACGCCAGGTGCGTGTGCATGCATGTCCAAGATCCAAGAGGAGAATGGAGAAGGGATTGTGGCGTGGCCATCTCCCCTGGGGGGTGATTTCTTGTTTTCCCTCTGTCTCTCTAACGAGCAAAAACCTCTCCAAAAACAAAAAAACATACCAGACGCATGCATGCATGCATGCATACTCAGGACTCTGATGGGATGGAAAACTGGAGGAAAAAAAGTACCACACTGTAACCAGGAAATCCTTGGGGAATCTTCCCCCAGGGCCCCACATTAAAAAAAAAAAAAAAAAAAACAAGGACCATCAGTTTGGCGTAATGGCTATGTCACTGGACTCCCATGTAGCCCATCGCGGTTTGAGTCCCAGACTTGGTGGCTTAAACTCACACTGGTAGAGTGTGTGTGCCCAAGATCCCGATAGGAAAATGGAGAAGGGACTGCAACGTGGCCATCTCCTCCCCACCAGGTGTGATTTCTCGCTTTCTGTCTGGAGAGTGCACACACCCTATAGCAAAAACCTCTCCAGGAAAATAAATAAATAAATAAATCGCTTCTCAGCCTACATCTGGAAACTGCTTAAGCAAAAGTAAAAGCCATTTCTCACTCATTTAAATAATGAATAGATGTTCTAAATGTTTTCTTAGGCCACAAATTCTGAACCAACAGTCTTACAGGTCAAGATAAACATTTCTGATCTTTTAAAGGGTAAGATTTCAGGCACCATTAAGTACCAACCACCAACCAAGCAGAACTCCTCTGTCCGTGGTATCAATTGCACAATTAGCTACATGGGGGCGGGGGGAGGGGGGGAACAACACAACACTGAGGACAATGGTCCTTCAGCCTCTGAAGGCTAGAGGGAAAAAAACTTCCTTCTGACAAACCGAATCACACCTCTGGCATGGGTACTTTGCTTCAGATGAAATAAATCTATACCATAACACTGACTCAATGCTTATCAGATGGATCGTTTTTAAAAAAGAGTTGATTTTATTTATTCATTCATGTTTTTTTGGGGGGGAGAGAGATTTTTGCTATAGGGCGCATGCGCTCACCAGACAGAGATAGACATAGAGAAAGAAAACGAGAAATCACCCCCCCCCAGGGGGGATGGCCACGCTGCAATCCCCTCTCCTCCATTCTCCTCTCGGGATCCTGGACATGCACATGCGCCCTGCATGAGTTTTAAGCCACCGGGTCCGGGACGCGAACTGCGGTCGACTACGTGGGAGTCCAGCGACATAGCCATTACGCTAACTGCTGGTTCCCTTTATTCATTCATTTTTAAAAGATTCATTTAATTCCATTTGTTATTATTTTTTAATTTGACCAGAGAGACAGACACACACAGTAGGGAGAAGTGAAAAGCAAGTCACCAGGTCCGGGATTCGAATCATGGTTAGCGATATGGGAGTGACCAGCACCTTAACCACCATGCCATCTGCGTTCCTCAGATGGGTCTTTTTTTTTTTTTTTTTTAACATAACAGCATCTGGAGTTGGAAAATAATCTGTATTAAAAATTGAATATATGTTCAGCTGAGACCCTAGGTAAGTTAACTGAGTTAACTCAATTGGAATATAGGAGGTCAAAAGTTTGTTTTTAGTTTTTGCTATCGGGCACGGGGGCAAGAGGGAGAGCGAGTGAGAGAGGAAAAAAATCATCCAGTGGTGGTGATCACACCACAATCTTTCTCCTCTACTCTTCTCTTGGGATTTTGAGCATATACGCGGCATGGTGTAAGCTGCTAGGTCTGGGACTTGAATCCATAGTCAGCCACTGTGAGATCCAGCCACCTTAACCATTACAACACTGACTGGCACAGGAGGCAGTTAAGGTTACCAGACAAATGATAGCATGCCTTCAAAGTGGTTTGAAAAACAAACAAAAAATATATGCTTGCTTTTCCATACACGGTCTTTTATATTTAGTCCCTGAAGATTCTCAAGCCTTTTCTTTTCTTTGGCCATGGGGCACTCACACTCACCAGAGACAGAAACAGAAAAAGTGAGAAATCACCCCCACGGAGGATAACCATACCACAATCCCTTTTCCTCCACTTTCAGGATTTGGGGCATACATGCACACATGTCCACCTTGAATTTCAAACTGCTGGGTCTAGCCATGTGGGAGCCTACTACCTTAACCACCAGGCCACCTGCTGACCCCAAAGTACCTTAGCCACCACACCACCTGCTGACCCTAAACCACTTTATTTTTAAAGTCAGAGGATCCTTTTACTCACCAGAGACAGACAGAGGGATAGAGAAATTACCTCCCAATGGGGCAGTTATGCTAAAATCTTTGTAATTTCTCTTTTCTGGTTGAGATTTGAGGCTTATGCATGGTAATTTCCCCCCCCCCAAAACACAAGGGGTGGAACTCAAACAGTGGTCCACCATATGAGATCTGATTCTTTTAACCAGGCGGCTATGGGTCAGCCCAGGATTTTTGTTGTAATGATTTAAAGTGATTCTTTTTTTTTTTTTTGGAGAGGTTTTTTCGCTATAGGGCGCATGCGCTCGCCAGACAGACAGAGAGAGACATAGAGACAGAAAGCGAGAAATCACCCCCCAGGGGGGATGGTCACGCCGCAATCCCTTCTCCTCCATTCTCCTCTCGGGATCTTGGGCACGTACGCACACGCGCCCGGCGTGAGTTTTAAGCCACCGGGTCCGGGACGCGAACCGCGGTCGACTACCTGGGAGTCCAGCGACACAGCCATTACGCTAACTGCTGGTTCCCATTTAAAGTGATTCTTTAAAAAAAAAAAAAACTACAGGTAGTCAAATTCTGGAAAATGCTGTAGAGCAATGGACTCATTTATGGATTTTTTAAAAAAGAATTACTGATTTTATTATTACTACCTGCTTTTAATTTACTATAGAGCATACACACTCATAAAAAGAGAGAAAACAAGAATGCAACTGCCAGGTCTGGGGCTTGAACCATGATGGATGATATGGGAGTCCAGCACCTTCACCACAATGCTGCCACCTGTCCACACCACCATTTATGGATTTTTATAATCTAGTATGTCCTCAAATTAAAAAACTTAAGGGGGCCAGCAGGTTCCATCGTGGTTGAGGTGCTGGATTCCCACATGGCTGACTGCAGTTTGACTCCCAAACCTGGTTTGCTTTCTCACTTTCTTCCCTCTCTCTGGGGAGCACATGTGTCTTACAGCAAAAATGTTAGGAATAAAAATAAAATTAATTATTTTTAAAAATTCAAAACCCTTAGGAAATAAGAAAGATATCAATATATAGAAGCACTTAAAAAAATGGAGGATGGAGACAAAGAGGGAACAACAAACCTCTTCCAGTTTGTCAATGATCATAGCAAAAGCTTTGAAGATGGCATTAGTAGGTCCAGCCAAAGTGATTATTCTCTCAGGACAATTCCCTTCTGAGATGTTGATACGTGCACCACTCTGGGTAAGAAACAAAGCCAAGAGATTACAAACAACTAGACATAAACACATACAGGATACATAAACCTCTCCTAAATAAGATGGGCAACAACTGCATACACATTGAACATTATCCTGATAGAAGGTTAAAAACAGCATCATTTCAAACACTGTTACTTGTCTGTCCTCAAATAGAGCCTATAGCAGCTGTCTTAAGTCTTGAATGAACTCTGAGACTTCTTAGAACTACATTTCTCAATGACTGCTGTCATTACAAATAACCAGCCAGAAAAATACCAGCTTCTTCTGAGAACTTTTCCCCTCCAATTCCTCTAACAGAATTTTCACGTTTTAATAGTTTATTTTCCAAGATCAACATTCCCAAAGCCCTCTATAACTTACCTCCTCGCGCATCTTCTTAACTGATTCTCCTTTCTGTAAGAGGAAAAGTCAAAAGTATGAGCACTGACTGCTATTTCAACCCAGACTACATAGTAATTAGGGCTGAAGTGAAATTGTCTTACCTTTCCGATGATACTGCCAACTTCCTGCAATGGAGAAAACCAGTGTTAGCAAGTGGAAACTTAGAGGTGTGTTCATTAGTAGGAAAAGGAGTTTTAACTGTCTACCTAACCAACTGCTATCTGTGCCAATTACTATCCCAAAGGAATAGAAAGATTCTAAGATTTACTGGTAGGGGGCAGGTAGGGAAGTATTCTTCTCTTTAATGCCACAGGAATGTGACTAAATGCTATCTTTGTGTTTAATATGTTATTTTCCTAAGTACCAAGTATATCTCCATCACCTTCAAGTTTTCAAAAAATGTTTTGGGTTAAGGTAACCTACCTATCACAAACACATCAACCTCTATGAGGAAAATCTTCTCATCCAGGTATGAGCTGAGTCTGGCTCTATAGAGCCTCTAGTTAAACCTTTCCTGCTCAGTGGAGCCTCCTAGTAAAGTCTGTCAATTTTCCTACTCCACTCACATCTACACTGTTAGGGAAGTGTGCTGAAGCCAGACACCCTACAGTGCTAATCTGATGAGCTCCTAGATGCATGTCTGCTCTTCCTGGCCCTCCCCTAGCAGTTACTATGACCCAATTTCCCAAGCAGATGCATACCTTGCCATGCATAAGTAGCCGGATGGTGAGAGTGACATTTAATCCACCTTCAATCACACCGGTGTCCATGTCTAGCAGTGTTCTGGGGAGCTGGACTTTGAGTGGTCAAGTCTTTGGTCACTGGTGGGGGTGAAAGCCAAAAACTAAAATGTAAACATGACCAAAATCAGAGAGGGGAAAAAAAAAAAAAAAACAAAAGCGGGTATCCCACCTTATTTTCACCATTATCAATGTTATCTAGCTGAATCTTTTCTTTACATGGCATCCTATCAGACTTGATAACATTACAGCCCAGATTATGAGTATGGAAGATGACTTTCCAGGTTGCTCTCATTAATGACAGGGTTTCTGCTGATGCGTAAGACAAGGAAGGTTTCTTCAACTGGCAATGTTTCTAAGGGAACTGCTGAACATGCACCCTCAGTTGCCCTTCAGTAGAACAAGCTTTTTTCAAAAGCATTCAGAAAACCCTGGAAATCATGAGGGCAAACCTCAAACTAACCAACCACAGTGTGAGGGCAACTGACCTTTTGCTTTCCTGTTGGGTAGTTTAAATTAAAATCTAGACACATGTATACATTTTCTCAGTGATAGCCATTTCTTGATAAATTGAGATG